AAACGAAAAAATGTTGTTTCTAAACATTTTGTTTTTCTCGAAACGTGTTTTTCATACGCAATAGAACGACAAAAATAACTTACAACTGTCGAGAATAGAGATTTTCATCAATATCAGACATTTTTGTCGATTATTTCTTATTAAATATACTAATCAATGTTCGAAATGATGAAAAGCTTATTATTTAGATGCTGTATTCAAATGTATACTGAATGAAATATTCCTTCTTTATATATACTTTTTTCTTGCTCACATGTTCGGACTTACTTGCTGTTGAGTAAGTACTACACACAAGGTAAAATACGAAAAGAAAGAGAATGAATGAAGAAAACAGAATGTGTTCTTACCCATATACTTCAATGGAACATAAGTTCTATCAATCAATTGCATTCAAATGCACGCTTTACGAACATAATGCAAAAGTTAGATCAAAGTGTGGATGTATTTATAGGTGACGAAAAACATTGATATAATAAAGAAGAAGCGTTGTATCGATTCAAAATGGCGAACCTCTTTTTTAATTGAATCATTAAATGAAAGGTTAGGTATTTCATCAATGTGATGTTCCTTTTGATACAAATCTAGGTGTGGGTGCGGGTGTCGGTGTCTTATCTTCATCCACACCCACACCCACACCCACGCCCACACCCACACCCACACTAACACCCCATACCCACCCCACACCCACTCCACACCCACACCCACACCCACACCCTCTAACCATATAGGTTAGCTTCCGAAAGTGAAACTTTGAATAGGAGCTCAATTATGTCAAAGCTACACAAACTTTGCCTCCCAACAAAAAATCTCTTCCGAATTTGGGAGAATATTGGCCTATTAGATTTTGCAGAGTACCGTTTGCTCTATCTCCTGGTATGTATAGCGTCGAAGTCGGTTTCCATTTTCGCTCGTTAGAGAACGAAAACTTTCATTTACTCGCATTTTCTGACCGATTTTAATCGATACTCTGGGATCTTTTAAAGAAAGACTCAATGAATGAATCTAAAAAATTTAAATCTAGATATATGTCGACAAAGTAGAATAAAAAGTATGTGAAATTTTATAGGTCGTCATGTTGTTTTTATTATCATCTGATGTCGGGAAATGCTCAAAAATAGTGTTTCCATTCTTCAATGTTTAAATTTATTTTTTGCTAATGAGGATCTCTGAAATATGTTATTGCGATAACACGGCCATTTAAATGGAATAGTTACTCGTTTAGATTTAGCTTTTTCTCATCTGAATGTAAGGAATGTAAAGTTAAACCTTTCTGTCAATGATGCATAAAAAATAACAGACCAGAAGAAGCATTCAAAACTCGAAGAGAGTTTTATGGGTTCTCCAGAAAACAATAAGCGTCATCAGAAGATCCTATCGAGCTATTATATGCAGCTCAACGGAGATAGGGTGTGAGTGTAGGATAAGAAAGTGGGTGTGTGGGTGTGCGTGTGGGTGCGTCGTGGGTGCGAGTGTGAGTTCTTCTTGCACGATTAGAGAGACCCACACCCAAACTCCACACGCAAACGCGCACCGACACCAATACTCACATCCACACCCACACCCACACCCACACCCACACCCACACCCACACCCACACCCACACCCACACCCACACCCACACCCC